ATATGCTTTATTTTTTACCATTTATATTTATTTTAAAATATTATTAGCTGTTATTTAACACTATTGAAGGAACTCTGTGCTAAATACCAGATTGCATGTAGTAAGTTGAAATTCTCTTACCAAAATTGAAAATCTTGATTTGCATGACTGAGGGGACAGCTGAGTTCTGCATGCAAGACACAGCTTGGGTTTGTGTCTTTTCAGATTAGAATCTGGTCTTTCAGGCATTCGTTCCTGTCTGCTTTGCTCGTCCCAATGGCACTGTGACACAGCCAGTTGGAGCCACGCCGCAGGTTTGGCCACATCATGGAGGCAGGGGTGCCTAAGAGACCCGGGGGAAGTGGGCAGGCTTTATAGAGGAAGCAGCGCTGGGGCTGCTTCTTGCACGAGGCTGAGAGGTGACTGGGAGGGCATTCCAGCTGCAGGAGGCACAGAAGTAGAGGCCATGGACCACGAGAGAGCATGGCGTTTACAGAAAACGAAGTGTCCTGGCTTCTTCATGGTTCACATCACACACGACTCCCTGTGACCCCCGCAGAAGGGCCTGGGCAAGAGGCTCCCCAGCACAGACTTCCAGAACGAGATCTGTACCTCCTTCTCATCCTTGGACTCTGAAGCCTTGGACTGCCTCTCCACCACTTTGGCCATCGCCGTGTCTTCTGGGGTCTTTGGATCATCATTTGTTTTCTTGGAGTGTAAGCATTATGAGGTGAAGGAGTGGTCGGAGAAGAAGCAGGAGTGCTAGCCATGGGCCAGCCACGCGTGATCTGCTGTGTCTTTCATCCAGTGGCTCAGCTAGCAAATATTCATTCAACAAGTACCATGAACCAGGCTCTGTGTGTGTGTTGTGTGTACATGAACAAAACAGCCCAAAACATTGCCGCTCATATGGAACTTACACTCTAGCGGGAGGAGACAGACCATAAATAGTAGTAAAAACATCCAAATGTACATAAAGTGTGTTAGTGGTAAGTGAGAAGAAGAAACTGGGCAGGATTGAGAACGGGGGTGGGGGTGACTTTAAGGGGGTTAGGAAAGGCCTCGCTATGAAGGTGACATTGAAAGAAAGATCTGAAGCCCGTGAAGGAGCCGGGGTGAGTGCAATTGCTCCAGATGAAGGTGTGCAGGTGCCCTGAGGTTGCAGCAGGCCTGGCTAGTTCTAGAAACCGTCGGAAGAAAGCATAGGTGGTGTATGGTGGGTGGAGTCAGCAGGAGAGGAGAGGGAGGCTGGAGGAAGGCCAGGTCTCGTGAATGAGGTCTGGATGGCCTCTCAGAGGACTTTCGGCTTTTATCTGAGTGAGGTGGTGAACGATTGGAGTGTTGAGCAGAATAATGAAATCGCACAACTTAAGCTATGAAAAGATGGATTTTTAAGACCAGAGGTCAAGAGTAGAAACCAGGAGGCCAGTTGGGAGGTTGTTGCTGTAATTCAGGTGAAGGGGATGGCGGCTTGAAGCAGGGTGATCACGGTGGGGGCCTCTGGAAGACAGACTGTGTCCTGTGAGGGGTGAGGAGCCATTAAAGACTTTGGGCCAGAAATGAACCTGAGTCGTGTGCTAAGAAGATGATTTTGGCGATCTGTGGAAGCAGGATTGGAGAAGCGAGGAGCTGGATCAGTTTCCGAAACTCTCATCGGAGGAGTAAAGATAGAGACCCTAGCTGGGGCCCTTTGGGGCAATTGTCAACCCTGGTCACCTTCTTTTTGTTTTAAGGTTTTATTTATTTATTTTTAGAGAGAGGGGAAGAGAAGGAGAAAGAGAAGGAGGAAAACATCAGTGTGTGAGATAAACATCAATCTGTTGCTTCTTGTAGGTGCCCCAACTGGGACCGAATCCACAACTCAGGCATGCACCCTGACAGGGAATTGAACCCACGACTTTCCCCTTTGGGGGATGATGCCCAACCAACCGAGCCACACCAGCCAGGGCAACCCCGGTCAGCTTCTTACAAGGGATAGACATTGAAAAGATTTGAACATTCGGAAATATCTGTGCAAACCTTGTCAAGGAAATGAAGTCAGCGACCGTGGTCAGGTTTGTTCTAGAGGCGGCCTGCAAAGTCTGCAGCTGCCTAAACTCACCACGTGCTAGGCACAGTCGGGCGCTCTGTAGCTCCGTCCATCTCGGGAAGTGTGGTCACTGTTCTCTCCATTTCTCAGGTGGGGATACCTGGGCACAAAGAAGTTAGGCACGAGGCTCTGCTGCCTCTTAAAGATCATCACTCTGGCAGTTCCTCCTGAAAAGTTTCTTAGGGAGATTCAGAACAGTCTGGTCGTGTCTAACACTGCATTGGAAAAGAGATCTCTCTCCTTTGTGAACTGCGGTGATGATGGCTTCGCTACCATGTAGGATTGTATTAGGTCAACGCTCTGAGTTGCCAATGACAAAAATTAGGTTAAGGAACATAAGTGAGAGTGAACGGAACTGCAAGAAATGGAAATGTCCAAAGGAAGAAGCGTGTGTGTGTTTGTGCATGTGTGTATGCACGTGTGCATGCCTGTGTGGATCTGGGGGGGTACAGTGATTTAGAAGATGTGGCTACGCTGTGACGCAGACCACGTTGTCAGGTCACTAGGCATGTGCTGTGTCCTCACTAGTCCTGGTGTTGCTGACCGGGGTCTCTCCTATGGTAGGTGGTTCCCCACCTCATCAGGAGGGCCACCCACCGGCTGCTTCAGCTCAGGTCATCTTTGTAGGACCCTGTTCTCAGAGAAAGTGAGTGTCTCCCTGAGGAGCTTCAGTGAAGAGGAGGTGGGAGAATTCTGATTCACCTGGTCTCAGCTCCGTTGTCCTTCCTGGGGGCTGGGTGCAGGGTCAGCCCCCTCTGAGGGGCATGTAAGGCATGTCAGGCAGCAGCTATGGAGAAGTGTTTGCAGGAAGCTCCGGGTGCAAGGTCACAGACATCACGTCTAGGCACACCCTTAGGAGGAAGGGAGCAGTGTGCCTCCAGCCTTCTCCAGGGTTGGTGGCACTATTCTCCTTGGGAAGTGATGCGACCCGTGAGTTGCCAGCACTGGTCACTTTATTTTTAGGGAGTCCCCCAGCTCAAAGGGCCTGCTCATCCCATTGTTCTTTCTCAGATGTGAATGTTTCCTTTTTTTCCATCTCAAAATAAATGATAAGGGGTGGGAAAAAAACAAGAGATGACTTTACAAAAGAACTTCTCAACTTTTTTTGTTTACCTTGACACAGATTAAGATAAAAGGTGACTTCATACTGTGGGATACACACACCTTTGTTTACCTGACAAAACTTAATGAAACACGAGTTATTTCTTACTTAGCGTAATAGACTCTAATATTTTCTGTTCTGTTTAATCTCATTAAAACACACACATGTGCTGATCACAGCCATTATAAATTCCTTTTACAGCCCACTGAACAGTGGCAACTGGAGCTTGGAAAACACAAACTGAACCATTGAAAAAACAAGCGAGAATGGTGTATCAGATTTGCTGGGACCGCTGTAGCAAAGCTGCACAACCTGGGTGGCTGGAACCACGGACGTGTGTTGTCTCACAGTCCTGGAGAAAAGCGGTCGAGGTGTTGTCAGGCTCGGCTCCTCCCGAGGGCTGGGAGTGAGAATCTGCTCCGCGCCCATCCCCTGGCTGCTGGGGCCTGGCAGAAAGTCTTTGGTGGTCCTTGGCTTGTGCCAAGGACCCTTCTCTCTACCTTTATCTTAACATTTGTCTCTCTGTATACATGGCTTTGTCCAAATTTCCCCTTTTAAGGGCACATGCCATTAGATTAGGAGCCCACTCTACTGCAGTAGGACCTCGTCATGGCAACGAATTACGTCTGCAGTGACCCTATTTTGAACTAAGGTCACCTTCTGAGGTACTGGGAGCTAGGACTTCAACATAGGAATTTCAGGAGGACAAGGGACATAATTCAACCCATAACAAATGATAAAAATACAAAATTGGAAATAAATAATGGAAGTTCTTATTATCCGGCAGACTCTCAGCTACATATTTAATTTCATGAGCTCATTGAATCCTTCTTGCCCCATTTAATAGTTGGAAGGCCAGGCTGAGAGGCCTCTCAGATTTGAACTTGGGTCTCCTTGATTTCAGAGCCCAGCTTTTTCCTGTGCATCTTATTCATAGACCATCAAGCAGGAGCCATGCAAGTCCAAGTTCACTTGGTCTGGGTTGCATTGCTACACACAGGTGGTAAATGCGCTATGGAATTGTGCCAGATTGCATTGCAATGAAGATGTCTTCAGGGTAACACAGGAATGTCAGCGAACTCTTGGCTTTGTCCCCGGTCTTGTCCCCTGTGAGTGGCTGTGTCCCTAACAACGCCCAGCCCAGCGACCAGCCAGACCACACACTCTCTCCCTTTGTGTTTTCCTATCCTCGTTCTGAATTTTGATCAGGGTGAAGGGTTGGGAGAAGGAAATGAGCCAGAAAATAGAAAATTAACACTTGGTAGAGTCATCATATTTTAAAATTTGTAGACAATGTGGGATAATCGGAGTTAAATCATGTTATCAGCAGGCTGCTGTAGGATTTAAAAGTTGGCATCCATCAATGTAAATCAGGTCCCTGGAGCCCAAGGGAATGGTGGTCTCCAGGGACGAGGGCTGGTGCAGAGTGGGCAGAAGTGTAAATACTTGATTAGCTGTGTCCTTTTCTTTCCCACAATAGCTAAACTGCTTCTACATCACATAGGCTGATAATGGTATGTTAAATAGTAACGGGAGGGAAAAAGCTATTTGGGTTTATGGTTAGCTTATTTTAAACACTTATCTTCCTCCCTGTCAATCCTAGGAAACTGTTGAGTGAGAGGTACTCATTTTGGGGGTGTCTTCCTGGCTCCCGGGTCTAGAGACAACCTCCTTCCGCACAGACGCAGGCAGGACACCATCTCCCCCAGCTGTTCAGATGTCACATTTCTGCCACGTGCCTGCAAACGGGAGCAGCCACAGGCTTGCTGCATTTACATGGGGAAGACTTGGCCTGATTCAAGAGCCGCCTTTCATCTCTTGTCATTGCAGCTCTTTGTCAAGGGCGTGTGGTGAGAGTCCCCGCCGGGAGCCTGGTGCGGGTGGTGGGCACCGAGCTGGTCATCCCCTGCAACGTCAGCGACTACGACGGCCCCAGCGAGCAGAACTTTGACTGGAGCTTCTCGTCTTCGGGGAGCAGCTATGTGGAGCTGGCCAGCACCTGGGAGGTGGGCTTCCCAGCCCAGCTGTACCGGGAGCGCCTTCAGCGGGGCGAGATCCTTTTGAGGCGAACCGCCAACAATGCCGTGGAACTCCACATAAAGAACGTCCAGGCCTCGGACCAAGGCCACTACAAGTGTTCGACCCCCAGCACGGATGCCACCGTCCAGGGCAACTATGAGGATACAGTGCAGGTGAAAGGTACATCCTCATGGGGCGGGCAGGTCACCATGCCAGGGGCCAGATTTTCTTGTGCCACTTGGCTGTGGGTGGCTTTGTCAAGAAACTTGATACTTGCTGAGATCTCAGCTCCCCCCTCTAATGGAGTAACAGTTCTTACCTGATTAAAGGCAGAGGGTGGGCCAGGCGGCCTTGGAGAGTCCTTTCTCTGCACCACGATCCCGAGCCGTCCCCCGGCTGGTGAGCTGGAGGCAGCGGGGTGTGTTCGTGGGAGCCCGGCTCTGAGGCAGGTGGCCTGCACTCCACGAGTGCAGTTCCTGGCTCTTCCACTGGTCAGCTCTGTGGCCTTGGGCCCGTGGCATCAGCTTTCTCCTCTGTAACAGTGCTTTTCTCGAAGCCATTGGGGACAAGGGAGAAAGTCTCAGAATGGCGCCAGAGCAAGCATTCAGTGATGGTCATGATGATAATGTTTGTCTCTATGGGAGTAACAGACGCTTCAAGCTCACGTCGCTCTGTGTGCCCTTCATAACCGAGGTACCTGTTAGTGTGGCGTGGTCCCTGCTCGCTTGTGACGCCACAGGCTTATCGGCCTGGCTGTGCAAGTCGTCACAGCTGGGGGAGCGGCACAGTTTCTCTTTTTGTTTTTTCCCATTTTCCAAGTCCTGTTAGATTTACTCACACATTCAGTTCTCTGCATTCAGCGAAGAAGACAGGGCAGGATGTTTCCTTAATTTACATGTGAGAAAATGGGAGAGTAGAGGTTAATTACTTTCTTAAAATCACATAGTGAATTTAGTAAATGAGCAAGAACAAACCATTTGAATTTGGGGCTAGCCAAATAGAAACATTATTACTGTTATTTTTTTATAATTAGTTATGTATCCTGCCTTGTTCCCAAAAGAATGGATGTCAGGGACCACAGTGTATTTTAATAATCACAAAAGTAGAAGATGCACAAGGGGACATAAAAGTGGGTTGATTCCCACAGTGACAGTGTGTAGCACCTGCCACAACTCAGATGCTGCTCCCCACCTGACTCAGGAGGGGACAGGCCAGTCCTGCCCATTTATGTAGGTGTTAAAACATCAAATCCATCTCTTCTATTGCCTCTTCTTATTCCTATAGAAAATCCTCAATATGTTTCTTAGGGAAAAAAGGTCCCGTAAGACATTCTTGCATTGCAGTCCCATAACGCGTTGCTTTTAGCGCGTCCCTCGTTTCCCCTTGTAACTGAGAGCAGGTGGGTGGCCCACAGAAGAGGCTGGTGGGCTGCCCAGCTGGGGGAAGCCTCTGGCCGCTGCCATATGTGGCCCAGAGTCTGCCTGGGCCTCAGCTTCGTGGGTCCTGAAACTGGTTGTTTGTGCCCTGCGGGATGACTGGTGCTGCGTCATGCTGGCTGAATCACAGATGATGTAGATACTAGAAGGTCGTTGTATTCATTTTGTACTAGATACGGGTCTTTCTGGATGTGAAAGTTCTTTCCCTTTTTGCTGAGTAGTCCCTTTTCAAAGACACCAAAGTAGTGTCTGAGTGCGGGATGGTGGAAAAAATCAGAGAGGTGATGAATTGGCCATTCCAGCATTCTCTTCTCCAGCTCATGGGCAAGCCTGAGCGGTCATCCCACCCCTGGGAAGAGGCCCCCTCTCTGGCTACTGGCCTAACACTTCCCTTCAGAAACAGCACTCACAGCCCCAGCTAGTGTGGCTTAGTGGCTTGAGTGTTGAACTGCGAAGCAAAACGTCGTCAGTTTGATTCTCAGTCAGGGCACAGGCCAGGTCCCCAGTTGGGGGTCGTGACAGAGGCAACCACACACAGATGTTTCTCTCCCTTTATTTCTCCCTCCCGTTCTCTCTCTCTAAAAATAAATAAATAAAATCTTTAAAAAATAGCACTCCCCAAAGTTCCTTGATCTCTGGCCCTCTTTTTCTAGATCTGTGGAAGAGCCCAGCCCTTCCCCAGATGTCCGGGAGAGAACAAAGGGCTGAAGCTCCCATTTCCCTTGATGGGTTCCCAACGCCGTTCAGTCTAGTCACTCTAGGCGGTTCCCAGGCTGCGAGGCACAGGCAGCACCAGCCGAGCTTCTCTCTGCCAACCGCACCGATTTAACTCCGGGAAGATCCTCCAGGCTCCCTACTCCCACCCTGGGTCCTAGTGAAGGGGTGACCGGCAGCCAGAGCTGGTGGTTGTGCTGTGTTTGCTGAGTGCCAGCACCCTCCCGAGCACTTTCCCGTGTGACTCGTTGAACTCTGTCAGCTCCGTGAGACAGGTCCACTTGTGACCCCATTTCAGAGATGAGGAAACTGACGCCCAGTGGGGAAAGGGTGGCTTCAGGGCGGCAGAAGCAGATCCCCAAGGCCCCACTCCCAAAAGAGCGTTTTCACCCCAGTTCTACCAGGGGGTCATAGTGGGCCCTCTTTTTTATTTTCATTTTTTAAAAATTTTTAAGTCAGAAAGTCAGTTAAGATTACAGATGAATCGAAATGGGGAAAAGTACCCATCTGGGTATGAGAAGAGGGGAGGGGAGGAGGAAGTTGTCCTCGGTCACAGCCTGGCCTGCGGTTCAGGACTGGAAAGGGCGCTGGTGCTTGCTGGGGTGGGGGCTGGGGTGGGGGCTGGGGTGCTCTGCTGAGGGTCCGTCTCCCCTGCAGTGTTGTCTGACGCCCTGCACGTGGCTGCCAGCCCGCCGTCCTCCCCGGGCCAGGGCCTGAGTCTGCGCCTGGGCGAGCCCTTCGAGCTGCGCTGCGCGGCCGCCACCGCGTCCCCGCTGCACACCCACCTGGCGCTGCTGTGGGAGCTGCGGCACGGCCCCTCCTGGCAGAGTGTCCTCGGCCTGACCCACGAGGGCCGGCTGCGCCCGGGCCCCGGCTATGAGCAGCGTTACCATGACGGAGACGTGCGCCTGGACACCGTGGGCAGCGACGGCTACCGCCTCTCTGTGTCCCGGGCCCTGGCCACCGACCAGGGCACCTACAGGTGCGTCGTCAGTGAGTGGATCGAAGAGCAAGGCAACTGGCAAGAAATCCAAGAGAAAGCCGTGGACGTGGCCACCGTGCTGATCCAGCCGACAGGTGAGCTTCTGGAAACTGGGTATTTTAGATTTTATCTTATTTTGTGACCAGGGATGGTATAAGAACTGGGCGGGAGGCCCTGCCCTTTCTGAGAAGGTTTCTGCTTCTCTTGTGAGGCCTGGTGTTGGGGGCGGGGAGGGAGGAGGGTGGTTGGCAATTGGGGAGGGTAGATTGGCTTTGGGCTTCATGCCTGTAGTGTTGCTTTGCAGCCACTGTTCATCTGGATTCGTGCCCCCTGAGAAGCTGCAGGCTACCCATGATACTAAGACAATGTTCTGACCGAAAGACAAGTCCCTTTAAGTGCCAGAGTGAGGCCTGGCTTGGCGTCCAGAGGACCTTGGCGTGGCGCTGCCCCACCCAGCTCCCTAGCCTTTATCTTGTTGGGCGTTTCCTGCGTCTCCGGATCTGCCGTCCCTGCTCTGCTGGGGACGTGTGGCTCACCTGTCTGGACCTCTAGTCTAACTTGACTCTCCAGGCCCCCCTCTCAGGGCCCCTCAGGTGCTCCATCCCCTGCCAGGTGAGGCGTCCGTTCTCTAGGGCGTGGCCTCTGTGACCACCCCAGGAGCACCCATCCAGCCCAGAGGGCGCCCTGCCAGATGTCCTTCGTCCTGTCAGCTGGGAGCCAGCTCCAAAAACAAAACAGGGAACAAAAACCCTAATCCAATTAGAGAAGTAGTTAAGAAAATACAAAATGTATTTTAGAAAACCCATCAAAATAAAAGAAAAACAAATAAGAAAGAAAAATGAGCCGTTACTGATTCCAGGACCCACAGCTTCAACAAAGAACCTACCAGATGAGCAGCTGTGTCCTGGGCCCTGGGGTCGGAGCTGCTGGGAACATTCCCAGGCCCCACGGCCCCACGGCGCGTGGGCTTTGGCAGAGACAAAGTGTGACGAGACCGCCCCAGCCTGATGTGGTTGCAGTGGATGGGTGGGGGGAAGTGCTTGCTTTTCTGGGAGTGCAACATCCTCAGATCTTAGAGCTCTTTACTGCGGGAGCAGCTGCCCTGAGTCTGTGAACTGGGAAGACCTTGGCCGGACTCGCTTCCTGAGCATAAACATAAGTGTGTGGTCATTCCGTCGCTCAGATGGGAGGGAAAGCAGCAAACAGTCCACACGGGAGTGTCTGTCCTCTGCAGGCTGCCTCGTGTCCTCAGCATTGCACCCTGCGTGTCCACCACCGCACAGAAGCAGGACTGAGGTTCTCAGTGACCGCGGCCGTCACTGTGGAGGGAGGTGCACTGGCCACAGAGGAGCTGCCCACCGTGCTCAGCCTTGGTTCCGTCGGCTGCAGGACCACTTCCTAGAAGTGACCTGCCTGGAATCTTGTCTTAAGAAACCTCAGCTACTCAGCTTGCATCCAACAACTGTTTTCACACACAGAAGGGTTAAGATTTGCAGCAGGGTTTTTGTTACGCAGGAATTTTGATGGCAAAGGTGTTTTTTATTCCAAACAAGCCATGGAACCTGCAATACCTCGTTCTAGGACTTGAGCCCTCTGAACGTATTAGGCAGGGACTAGCATTTGGTTCTCACCTGAGCCTGGGCATCATAACCTTTTCGTGTCGTGAGTTTCTTTGACGGTCCTTTGCAGCCCGAATTAACATGTTTTAAGGCATAAAATACATTCAAAGGGTGATAAAGAAAAACAGATTTATTGGAGTAGTTATCAAAATATGTTTAGGACAGATTTGTCACAGAGCGATATTGTGCTTCATGGGTGGTTTTTTACATGACAGGATGGGGTGGCCCACCTCACAACTGCTGGGGTTTCTAAGGGGCGACGATGTAAGCGATATTTTCTCATATCGTCAACAATTGTAATGTAAAAACATCTGTGACTTCTCTTGTGGCAAAATCCCAGGGACAGATAGTACCACACTGGTTTGTTGTTTAAGCCTCGCACTGAGAGGAGATGCGGGATTTCAGGTAGGGAGGGGTAAAAATAAAGACAAATTTTTCCCTCATCCATCCTGGATTCTCCCTGTGGAGCTCAGGCTGAAACCCCCACACCGGGTGCCTCTCCTCCTCTTGTCGACCCCTGCACTCTGCAGCTAGTTCCCGAATATTCTTACCACCGTGTTGGGATGAACAGCTCGAAGCTGCTGAGACCGTGGGGCTGTGGTACCTGGGAGACACTGTTCATACCCACGCCCCTCTTATGAGTGGTCTGGGTGATGCAGATTTCGGTGTCTCTTATGGATTCGATTAAGTTTAATAGGAGAAAGCCTGACTTACTGTACGCTCAGCCTGGGGTCCTCTCCTGCATTACGAGGGCTTAGAACTTCTTTTGTTCTTTAGCCTGCTCCTTCCTCTTTCCCACCAGTGACCCCCCCAATCCAAAACATGTGGCAGGGATGGTTAGTGGTGTGGCAAGATGCTCAGCCGCTTGCTGAGAAAATCACCAAGAGAACCACTCAGTTGAAAGACATTTCTGCCGCTGACCCCTAAACCTAAGAAGACTGTGTTCACTCCGTACGGGCAGTCTGCAGCTGTATGTGGACCACTTCCTCACTCACCTGGCTCCCTCCTGAGCCGCCTCTACCTCCAGTGGCTGGTGACCGGCACACAGGGCCCTCCGGCAATCGTCCAGGGTCCCTGACCACGGTCATTGTATGTGGGGTGGCTCCACCCACAGCGCGGGCTCAGGGCAACGGTTTCTACACTGACCCCTCTCAAAAGACACCCTCAGGGGACTTTTCACCCCTTTAAAAGGGTCACCCTCAGGAGGAGGAAGACTTTGGAGGGTGGGTGGAGGTGAGAAATTAGACATGTAAGTTCCTTTTTCTAATTACTATGCCCACCTCATTTTCTGTCTTCATCAAGGTGGGTCTCGAACTTGGCCAGAGACGCTTGTTTGGAAATATTCATGAGAAAGCTGTTTACTTCAGGGGCCCAGGCTTTGGGGCTGGTCTTGTGTGAGCTGGGCGCCAGCTCTGTCCCGAGCCTTCTGCACACGGTGGCCCAGGCTGGGCGGGAGCACAGGACGGCGTCATCTGAGCAGCTGTTCCCACAGCATTACTGCAAGCTGTTTTTCTACTGTGGTTACAGATATTCACCTCCTTTTTAAAAGCCCCTAAATAAAGTACGAGGTCTCCATGTAAAATGCAGTGACAGGGGACGCTGAAACCGATTTGCCTGGAGACAGTGGCACCACGTCCATTGGCGCTTCCTCTGAACACAGTCCACTTCTAATCATCCACACTAATGAGAGGGGGCTGCCGCATGGAGACCCCAAAATCGTTGTTCGGTTTGAAATCGTGTGCCTTGCACTTAACGCTAGAGTGGTACGTGTAATGGAGTAAAGGAGGTGCTACGTACACCACGTTTTGGAGACTTGACTCATAAAATGTATGGTCTGGTTTCAATTTCTGGGTCCTTCTGTTTAGGATTCCCCCCCCCTTTTTTTTTTTTTGCCCAAAAGATGGTTTCACCCTCCCCTCCTACCCTTCATCCTCCAACCCCCACACCCAGTCCCCAGCCAGGGATTTCTACCAGTCAGAACTGAATTGTGTGCTTTCTCTGTGAAGTCACCCCCGTCTGGTCTTGCACAGGGAGAACGTTCTGGTTTTCTTTATGAAAGCAATGTTCTGCAGACTCCTCTCCAAACAACAGTGAGTTTCTGGCGGCAGGCAGCCTGGGTTTGAATCCCTGCTCTGCCACGGGTTTGTTACCTGCGTGGCCTTGGGCAAGTTACTTGAGTTCTCTGTGCTCCAGTTTCTTTATCGGGAAAACGGTAATAATAGTACCTACCTGCTAGGGCTGTTTTGTAAGTTATTATAAAGCACCCAGAACAGTGCCTGGCATATAGTAAGTGTACATAAGTTTATATGAGTTCAAAGGAAATGCGGTGTGGCTCATAAATTTATTTAATAAATATTCCTCGGGCATTTACAACTGTACGAAGCCTTCTAACTTTAATGCCATAAATGAGAGCAGGAAAGGAGAATATCGGGGGTGGGAGGAAGGGACAAACACTATCTAGATCCTCAAGGTGTATTTGTTTTTGATTTTCAAGTTCTGCGAGTGGCTGTGGGCAGGAATGTGTCCGTGGCTGAAGGGAAGGAGCTAGACCTGACCTGCAACATCACAACCGACCGAGCAGATGACATCCGGCCCGAGGTGACGTGGTACTTCAGCAGGACGCCTGGCAGCACTGTGCCCGGCCCCCACGTGCTGGCCCGGCTGGACCGAGACTCCCTGGTGCACGGCTCTCCTCATGTCGCTCTGAGTCACGTGGATGCACGCTCCTACCATTTACTGGTTCGAGATGTGAGCAAAGAGAACTCTGGCTACTATTTCTGCCACGTGGCACTCTGGGCCCCGGGACACAACAGGAGCTGGCACAAAGTGGCAGAAGCCATGTCTTCCCCAGCTGGCGTGGATGTGACCTGGCTAGGTGAGTGGTGTGGAGGGCGGCTCTCAGCCCCTCTGACGCAGCCCTTCCTCCGGGTCATCAGGAAGCATCAGTCGCAGTGCAGTGCACGTTACTTTGGCATTTTTGATGTCGAGACAAGCATACTTTAGCCTGGATGGGTCCCAGGCTGGGGGTGAAAGCAAAACTGGCTGAAATGGAATCTGGCAGGCGAGGGCAATGCTTAGATAATGTGGCCTCAGTTGTCTCAGTACTCTCGTTTTGGGGGACAGAGTTTCCCTTTGTTGTCAAGATTTGCAGGGTCCAGCCCTGCTGAATGAATGGCTCTTTGAAACGCACGGGTGTGCCGGGGTCCGCTGCCATTCCCCCTTTCCTTCCCTAGACTCCTAGCTGGGTGCTCTCTGGCAGGAGCTGCTGCTTCCAAAGCCCAGTGCAGAAAGAAAGGATTCCTGCAGATACTGGAACGTACCTTTCCCACCAAAGGCCCTGGAGTCCTCCAATGATTTTATTTGCAGTTACCAGTTAAATGGAATGGCCCTCCTGCTTGTCCAGCTGTCCTGGTGGGCTCTCACCCAGGTGTGATTCTCGCTGGCGGAGCCATGTGGCTGTCAGCCGTTGGTCACCTGGCCACCCATTTATAACAACTTGTCACAGAAGTGACGGTCATGGCCATGTTCTTTCTTTTTACCATTGCTACCTTCCCCACCTCTGATTGTCCTAAATGTGTGCCCTGCAAGACTGACTCTTCCTAGTTTCTGTTGCTGTCTTATAATTGATTAATTACAAGTACACCTAGGCAGGATGGAGTTGACGAGCATGTACCTTGCTTCCCACTTCCATTGTCACAAGGCCGGAGGCAGGCCTGCAGTCAAACTCTGCCCTGTCCTGAGCGTGAGCGCTCTGCTGTCCCCAGGCTGTCCTGAGCCCTGTTGGAGGCCTTTGGCATGGCTCTGATGATCAGGAGTCAAACATCTCTAAAGGCCAGGAAATCTTTCCTCCCCCGTCGGACCCTAGACATCCTCCCACCACGCCCCCCAGCTCATACTTGGCTCTTCTCTCTGTGTTGAAACCTTATCACGGGTCGGGGGAGCCGTTTGTTCCTGATAAGCCTTTATTTGGCAAAGATGCGGAGTCCACAGGTGGGGACCGAGGGGCCAGGGCGAAGACGAGCAGTAGGAGAGCAAGCAGAGGGTGCATCCAGTACAGAGGGAAGCTGGGCAGGGTGTTCGTCATCCCTGGTAGCAAAGTGCTGCTTTGATGTCGGAAAAGCGAAAGGAACAGGATTTATCTGGCTTTTATTCTTGCCGTCTGAACCCCACGCAAGAGACTCGCTCTGAAGTACTGAACTGGAACAATGTTGGCCCGGCCGGACCTCGCCTTAGCAACCTTCAAAATAAAACAGATGTTGTCAGCACCGAGAGATGTTTCATCTCTGGGGCTGAATCTGTCTCCCAGCGCGGATCCTCAGAGGCTGCGTGGTGCTGTCAGATCCTGGCGCTGCCACTCCTGCCCCCTCCCCCTCCAACTCAGAATCGTGGCTCCAGAGGTGTTTTTAGAACGTGCGGCCTTCTCTCCAATTTGAGAGCCTCTTTCAAGTGCTCATGCCTGGGTCCAGGCATTGGGGGCAGGGTGTGCAGGGACTGGCAGAGAACTGGAGGGGGGCTCTGGGAGGGAGTGGGCTCTATTTGTTGGCGTCTGTGTTCTCCCAAGTGAGAAGGAATAGAGAGACTGAGTCATGGGAGTAGGTTTGGTGACTATCCTAAGGATCCAGCTGTTTGTTTTTCTGCAAGGCGCAGGCACCATTGTTGCAAAAGTCACCTGCGTGCGTTTCCCTGGCTGGGGCCGAGGTGCACAGCACCCCACACCTTGCCCGGTGCTTCGTACCTAACGGGTACTCAATACGTGTTGGCTGGCTGGGTAGATAAACCAGCTCCAGACACATGCACAGTGTTGAAATGGGTGCACAGGAAACCAGTGATTGCAGAGAAAGCAATGATGTCCGACTCCGACTGTTCAGGGCGGTTGCACCTGAGGAAACCTACAGGGAGTGAAAGTGGTGTCAGCCGAGGGTGTTCCGCTCCTTTCTCCCTCAGAAATCTCCTTCCCGTGCCTGTGACTCACCCCCTTACAGCTGCCGGGACGCTGGCCAGGAGGCAGGTCCAGTGTAAGGTCAGCAGCGGACTTTCTCTCTCCAGCTTTCCCAGCTGGACCGTCTGCCCGGAAACCCGTGCACCCGCCCTGACGTGTGGTTCTCCCTAGACACACACCGCGTCCGTGTACGGATGTGGGAGCCACGCCATATGCTGCTGGGGGCCTGTTGGAGGCCACCGAGAGGCGCCCCAAAGGGACAGGGAGACATGACCTGCTAAGTACTCTCTTTACCATAGGCCACCTTGTGTTGCGTGACTATGGGATGTTGTCACACAGAGTTCTTAAGAAGGTTGGTTTCCTCTTCAGGTGTTACACAAAACTCCCAATTTTGCTAATTGACCTATTAAAATATTAATAATAACGAGCATTTATTGAACACTTGCAGTGTGCCAGGCACCAGGCTAAAGGGCTTTACGTGCGTTAAACAGTTACTCCCCACAGCAGCCTTGGGAGTGAGGTGCTGCCCTGCCCCCGCCTGGAAACCACTGGTTTTTACTTGGCTTACGATTTGGAGGGTCCGGAATTAGGAAGGACTCAGGGGCTTCACCTCTGATGCACAGGGGACAGCCGGGGTGGCTCCGTCTGGGAGCCCCTTCCAGACAGCTTTCTCATGCGCACGTCACCATGCTCTCTGTCCCCACACGGTGTCTCATCCTCCAAGCCCTTTCCACGCAGCTTGGGTTTCTCGGAACACAGTCTCCTCAGGGCGTCCCCTCCTTACAGGGTGGCTGGCTTCCAGGAGGCAGGAAGTGGAAGTGCCCAGCCAGTGAAAAGCTATCCCCAGGACTGACACAGTGTTGCTTCCACTGCTTCCGGTTGGTCAGAGCTATCACAGAGGAGGCTCAAGTTCAAGGGGGTACAGAGAGACACCCCATCTCTTAATGGGAGCGTAGCAAGGTCCCATTGTAAAAGGGCATGTGGCTGGTAAGTGTTGCTGCAGTCCTCTTTGGAAAATAGAATCTATAACAGCGGTTAATGCCTGTTTTATTTCAAAAGAAATGTCGAAGACGGCTCAGAATGATGGGCCTGGGTCAAGTCTATTTCATCTTAAGTGGAGTCTGTTTCAGATATTGTTGTTACCTTACGTGGAAACCTTTTTGGCTTTGGGAATCAGCTTCACTCCTGACTCGCAGGGGGCCGCACGTGGCCCAGGATGGCTATGAATGTGGCCCAACACAAAATCGTAAATTTCCTTTACATTCTTTTTTTTGCTAATCAGTTTTTGTTAGTGTTTGTGTATTGAATGTGTGGCCCAAGACAACTCTTCTTCTTCCCATGCGGCCCAGAGACGCCCAAAGGTTGGACACACCTGCAGAGCATAGAGTCCTAACCGCTGGGCCGTGATTGTCCTTATTTGTCTGGGGTGGGTGCTGGGGGGGGGGGTAAAGCAGGCTGGGATCGTCTCACGTTCTACTGTGTGGCCCAGACAGAGATCAGGGCAGCGGTGTGAGAGGCCCTGGCAACTCTGAGAGCATTTGGAGCAGCTGGGAGGACCACGGTGGGTTTTTTTTTTTTTAGGAAGAAACAGCCTCTTTTACTTGGGGCTCATGTCCTGCTTTTGAAGGGGAAAAATAAGATTTAAGTTGTCCTGCAAAATGAATCTCCATTCAAAAGTGGGAGACATAAAAATAAAATCAAAATCAAAGGATAGGCAGTACAAGTTGGGTTACCGTGTTTGAACACTAAATTTGCCTCTGAAGTTTTTTTAAAGGGTTAGACAAAAAGAAATGTGATTATACAGTTCTCCTCTGCTGAAGGAAAACAAACTCAGAGAGACAAACTTTTTCTTGGCAGGGAATTTATCATGTGCTTTTTTATTTAAGGGGCATTGGATAACATAATGGACAGTGCTTTCAACTGTTCTTTTACAAAAGGCCCTAAGTGATTGTTTAAATGGATGTTTCTTATATCCACTCTCTGTAAGAGCTGAGGGCATAAATCTTAAGTGTGTGAAGGAGTTTCTTCTATAAGGAGCTGAGTGACTGTGGGGGACAAATGTTGCTTTGTGTCGATCCAATTTAGTATATGACTAAAACTATGGAGGCTTTGGAGGAATAGCGAGTTAATCTGCATGGTACGCCGTCTCTTGCTGCTGTCAGATGTCTTAAATGAGCCTTTGGCACGCGCTGGATACTAATCAGTTTGTGGTTGAGCTCTCTGCCCGAAGTACCAGACTTCCGTGGTGTTAATTGGAGAGGCTTCCACGGGCTTCAGATATGAGAGCAGGAGGAAGCAGAGTTGAGTTCTGCTGTTGGGGCTTAAGAACCTGATTTGCATTCTTCCCCACAAGAGGACTGTCCCCTCCTCCAGTAGTGTGCCAGTGAGGAAGGCAATTATTTTTCTTTAAAAGGAGCTGTTAATCTGCTAAGTACTTGGTAGAGACTTCTGAGTTCTGCGCCATCTAGAGAAGACGAGAGTTAGATCTGCAGACTTTTACGGGCACCTGTTATTTATGAGCTGTCTGTCCGGGATCGCCTCTGACGGCAGAAGACCATGTGAGCGAGCGCTGGAATCCTGTCACCTTCTGGGTGTGCTGTCTCGGGTGTGTCGCTGAAGCTTTCTAAGCTTTGGTTCTCTTGGTTTCTGTGTTGCCACCCTTCAAGGCCAGGCAGTTTCATGGTATCTGTGCAGACGGAGAAATATTCACGGAGCCGTTGGGGTGTCTGGCATGCCTTTATTCACGGGTGGGCGAGCCACACACGCTGCAAACTGCGTGTCTATCTGCATGTCTCACGTTGTGGCCCTTGCTCCCCCGCGTGGCACCCGTCATGACACCTGTCCCCGGGTGTGTCTCTCATCATCAGCGCCTCCAGTAGGGAGTCCCTACCTGTTTTAAGTACTAGGAACAAACCCGGAAAACTGCCAAACCCTTA